CAATTCTATTGTCAGCCTTATAATTCAGGAATTATGCCAGTGTCCTCATAATAATGAAAGTCCTCACAAAAATAGTTATGATTTTTCATAACAACATACGACAAAAAATCATAAATTCATAAGTCAACATAAGTCCAAAAAATGATTAAGACTCATCTCAATCGTTTTTGTGTGATCCAACATCCCAAAGTCAACGAGAACAAATTTTTTTTTTTTTAATTTTGCTTAAAACCAAAAAACAAATGATCCAAAATAACAATATCAATGACATTTCCAAGAACTATCACAATAACATTAATTATATCAAGAACACAAAAAAAAAAAATGTCATCTCTTATAGATATTCGCAATCGTGCATGAAGATAATGTACTTCGATTATAAGAACATAAACCAACTTGGCTTTGATGCCAATGTAAGATAAATTCATGGAAGATACATATATATATATATATATATATATATATACATGAACATAATCATATATATACTTGTTAAGTGAAAGCAGAAGCGAAAAACTCAACTTAAATTGCTGGTCATTGAACAATATTACAATATGAAAATTTGCAAGAACAAATTTTACTTCGGTTATTAAGAACATAAAATGAACCAAGAGACAAATCCATTTGGCTTTGATATCAATATAAGATAAATTTATTGAATATATATATATATATACACGAATATAATCACATATATACTTACTTGTTAAGTGAAAATAGAAGTGAAAAACTTGATTTGAATTATTGATCATTGAATAAGATCACAATACAAAATATTCGATTCCACAGTATAAATTCTTTACATCGAATACAAGAATTCCTCGCTAAGAATTGTTTAAATGCCTATTTGGCTCTTTCTCCCTTTCTTTCGTATTCTTCTCTTTAAGTAACTTTTCTCTCAACTTTAATTTTTTGTTTAATGGCCGAATGGCCTTTTTGATTATTAAGCAAATGAGATGAGTGGGATTAACAATTTAACTGCGCAAGGCAATTTTAATATTACACCAAAAGTTGCTTTACAACAGTTTTATTTTTTATGGGTTCATCACCCGTTATGGGCGGTTGTGCCCTTGTTATAATGGGCTGTTAGTAACAACTTATTTATTTTAAGCTATTTTTAAGCTAAAAAATTCCAATATAAATGTTTTAAAATGATATTTTAATTTTAACATTATCACTAAATTTCACATCTAATTGTTAAAAAAAATTGAATTTAAGTGTACTCAGTTCTCTAATTCTTCTCATTATATAAAAGACAAAAGATATATTAGTAATTTATTTTATTACTATCTAAACAATTGAAATTAACAAAGTTTGACAGAACAATAATCACGTGATCAAAATAATTTTAATAATTAAGATTTAAATTCTACTAATAATCTCAAATATATATATATATATATATATAAAAGTTTGGCAAGTTTATCCCTCGTTTTGAGCTCCTATTTGCTTGCGTTTATTCTTCCAATAAATGCTTGAAAATTGAAGGAAAAAGCCGCAAGTTTTTGTATTAGTGGCTATACTTTCTAACTCCAAATGGACTTTAATTTAATGAGATAGTAACATTTCTGATTTACATGACACCCTTTTCCAAGTTGGTCGGTGGTAAAAATCAACAAAGTTGTTTGAGGTTTTGCTAATTTGCATAATTGATATGTGTTTTTTTTTTTTTTTTTTTTGGAAGCCAATAAAAAAACTTAACCATATTCATTTCTTACGTTGGAGACTTGGATTATTCTCCAAGTCATAAATAAGAGAATATATGCCATTTGAAAATGAAAGCATATTGTTCAACTTACCCTCTAAAAAGATAAAAGTCAAATGATTCCCTAAATTTATATGCTTGTAAGAATTTTTGTTACCATTTAGGTTTTATTTGTTTTTTTAAACAGATAAATATCAAACATGTTCTAAGATACAATCTATCAAAAGTAATTTAATTTTCTTTTATTTCCATGAAAACTTTCAGCAACAAAAAAGCAACCTTCCTTTTTTTCTTTTAAACTATGAAATTTGTTGTACCAATCCAAAAAATGAAAAAAAATTTCATGTATACTTAAATAAAAATTGCAACATTACAACATAAGTAATATCATCCCATAAATTTGATTATCAAAGATTAAGAAACAAAATATTTGTTTATTTGGTTTTATTTTTTATTTTTCTACTATATTAATTATCTATAAAGTATAGACATAGATATAATAATATTATAATTTCTAAAAATAAAGACACGAGAAATGTAAGGTACGATAATAAATGTTTTTTTTTATAATAATTATTAAAACTTTAAAATTTTTTAAATCAACCATCCGTCTTTAATTTTTATGTTCTCACTCTTCATTATTTTTTTTGTTTTTCCAATTTAGGTTTTGCTCATTTTTAATTACATATTACCGTGTTTGTTCATAGAAAACATGTAAAAGGGAAAATTATCATATAAGAATGTAAATGATATATTAGTACTTATAAATTATTCGAGTTCAATTCGAAAAAAATTCGCATTCGATTCGATTATTATCGAGTCGAACTCGAGTAGCTCGACTTATCGATCGAATCGAATTCGAATATTCTTATATCCGACTTCGAGTAGCTCGCGAGCCTAATCGAACTTTTATATTTAAATATATTATTATTATTTTAATTAATAAAATATTTCGAATTCAAGTTCAAGCTCGAGTATAAATAATCAAATTTTTGTCGAGTTACGAATTGAACTTATTTTTACATATTAATCGAGTTTAATCGAACGAACTCGCGTAACTCGAATTCGATCACGAATCAAATTTAAACTTAAAAAATAAAATTCAATTGAATTCGAACCGAATATCAAATCACGAGTTATGAACCGAATTCAAGCTTAAATTTTCCACTATATTAACTCGATTTAATCAATTACACGCCTACCGTCATACCTTTCCAGCCAAGTCTGAATATGTCATGATCATTCCCAATTTCTTTTTTTTTTAACCTGTCCTTGATATGTTTGATACGTATCGAAAATTTATCCTTTGTGTTTGACAGTAGGCACGCTTCTTTTACAGCACTGGAGTAATTAAAAGACCCACGTTACCATGTACAAGCTTATCACCCAAAATTCAGTAAATAATTTTTTATTTATTGTAACTTGTAAGTGAAATGTATTGACTTATGGCTCCCAATAAAATTTTGACGAAGACAGTCAAGTTTTTTAAAATATTTTATTCATTGAAATTTCATTCATTTTTATTAAGATCAACAGAACAGAATTTGAATGGATAAAATAGATTGAAATCCAATAAATTCAGTTAATTTAATTTGATTGTTTGATTTTAATTATAATTGATTTTTTAGATTGATCAAATTAATTAATTTAATCAGTTTTTGATTTTTAAAATTAATAATCAAATTAATTGATTTAATTAATTTTTTTATTTAAAAAAATTAAGTTAAGCATTTTTATTTATTTATTTTTTATAAAATAATGTCAAAATTATTAAATTTTTAATAATTTAATTTAAATGATACTTAAATTTAAATTTTATTGAATTAAATTTATAATCAAATAATTATTTATAATAAAAAAATTTAATTATTTAATCAAATCGATCAAATCAAATGATTTTCACATTTTAATTATAATTAATTATTTAAAAATTTTCAATCAATTTAATTATTTATTGAATAAAAATAAATTAATTCGATTATACCTTAATTTTCATAAAGTCGGCCGCGGTGGCTCAGGACTCCAGCGAGATGGAGGTGGTACTTCCAGAATTCGGAGATGCTTCATCGTTGTTCCCACGTATGGATTTAGCGTTTACACTGTTCGAAACGGAGTTCGAGAGACAAAGGATTGCTACGAGGAGGTTAGTATTTGATGCTTCAAAGATTTCGATGCTCGAAGCTCAAGCTGCTAGTTCAGACGTGCCAAAGTCTGCGCGGGTTGAAGCTGTGACATCGCTTATTTGGAAAAAAGCAATGGCTGCATCAAAATCAAATCGTGGTGGGTTCGCAAAGCCATCTGCGTTGCTTCAATCTGTGAACTTCCGTAATAGGTTGGAACCTCCCCTGCCTGAAAACTTCATTGCGAATCTTGTAGCTTTGTTTATCGCACGGAGGCCAGATTGTGAAACAAAATTGCAGGGCCTGGTTCAACAATTAAGAAATGGAATCAGAGAATTCAATGAAAATATCGTGAGGATGCTCCAGGGAGCGCTGCAATTCCAGCAATTCTTGAGGGTGGCATAGAAATAGAAAACTTGTTGAAGAGAGATGATGTTGACATCCATCGCTGCATCAGTTTGGTGCAGATTCGAGCTATACGGAGCAGATTTGGATGGGAATAGCCAAGATGGGTAAGCATTGGCGGTTTCATACCCCAAAATTGTTGTATATTGATGGATTCAAGGGACGTTGAGGGTGTAGAAGCATGGCTGACCTTGAGTGAAGCTGAAATTGCTTTGTTTGAGCGTAATGAAGAGTTGCTTGAATTTGCTTCTGTGAACCCAACTGTCGAACTCTAAAGAGATTTGTGACTCGGTTATTTAATGCCCTACAATTTATATATGATGCTTGCTGGAATCCTCAAAATAAGGAATTTCTTCCAAAAGTGTTGGGTGAGAGTTGAATGCCATTGCATTCGCAAACATGGCAAGGCCTAGTGTTGCTACTGTGATTGAAAAAAGAAAATTCTATTCATTTCTATTTTTTTTTTAATTTCAAATATTTATATTGCGTACTTGATATGGCATGTAATTATTGGTTTTATTATTATTATTATTTTTATGAATTAGTTGATTTGATATGACTTAGTAGACTTCATTTTTGAATTTACCTAATAATTATATGACATGTTAATGAGTACAAAAATATAAAACATAATTAATGGGGCTAGCAATATCACTCATTGAAAGAAATTCTGAATTAAGAAAAAATGTTTTTAGATTTTTTTAAAGAAGAATGCTAGACAGCTAAACCTTGCAAGCAAACATTAATTGATACAAGGGACCTTATCATCTTCAGTTGTTTTTGGGGGCAATATAAGCAAGCAATTCCTCGTCACAGTCAAATTTTGCCATGTCTTCCTCCTTCAGATTAACCCAAGCCTCTATTCCATCACCCGAAGCACTGTCCAGGAAAATTACTCCATTCGTGGAAGCTCGAGCGGCAGAACCTACCCAAATCGGTTTCCCCCAACCAAAATCAGCTTCATATAGGGGAAACCTACATAAACTAGTGCAACTAAAGAAACTTGTCTCCCCTCTGATGGGTCTTTCGGCTATCTCTTTGATGTAGTCCAAGTGATCCTGTCCATCTTGTACCTTCTTCACGTACTCTACGTTGATTTTTCTTATGGAGTCTCTTATTTGACTAACGAGATTATGACAATTTTCTCTACTGTCCATGGACGGAACTGTCGTTGCAAAGCTATAAAGGTTCCCAAAAGAATAGTCTGCCAGAGGCGGATCCATTCTTGTACGTAAATTTACCAAGTGAAAAACTGCACAAAACGTATCAGGTCTTGATATTACCTTAGTGGCAACAACAAACCGGCTCCATATGAAAGCTGACAAGGCCTCAATGCGAGTCGGGCGTTTTGGGTTTTCTGAGCTAGTCTTGTCAGCATATTTTCCTCTGATTTCCTCTATTTTAGAAGCTGTAAACACAAACCTCTTTGTTATAATTTTTTCTTTGGTTTGGCGAATGTTTGGGTTATACCCCGTTATGCTCCGTGGGGGGAAAAGCGAGGCTGATACAAATTCTGGGGTCACTAATTTCTTCTCCCCACGAGCAATGGCTGCCCACATATTCACAAACGTGAAAAATGAAAGGGCATCTCCGAGTTTGTGAGAAATGCACACGCCGACCCCTATTCCTCGACAATCAAAAATATTGAATTGGATTCCTAGGGGCAATTCTCCTGCATCATATAGATCAAATGGAAATAATTTGTTAAGTTCAAGAGGGACAGGGTCTTTTATGACCTCTGAAAGTTGGCACTTGACTCTGGCTTCCACAAAGGGTATGCCCTCATCATTGCAGTCGACAAACAAGTTGTCTCTAATGCGTCCGGCTAAAGGGTTGAAATAGGTTAGGGCATTGGAAATGGACTGCTTTAGCTGGTTGGAAATCTCGATTTTGCTTTCTTGGGTATCACATTTTTCCGGGTAGAACAGGACCAGAGGGTTATAAACTGGGGGAGTTATTTGATCAAGGAAAGAGAGTTGGTAGCGTCTAAGCCGCTCTGGGGTCGGAGAGGATGGTTGAATAATCACTTTGGATATCACTTCAACCTCAAGATTCATGCTGCATGTAAAAGCTTACCTACATGTGTGTGAATGTTAGCCTTGTTTCGCCCAATGCAATCATACTTGCATATAAGAGCTGCTCGGCGGGTAAAGACAAAAGACCAAAGACTGGAAGGAGCAAACCTCAGAAAATACGTCCACACAGGATATCTATGAGATGTAAAAAAGGATTATTTATTCTACAGGGAATTTGATACTATGATTTGGTTAGGCCGGCAGGGATTGAAAGAGAACAGAGGAAAGTGACAAATGACCAAATTGGTTTTTGTCTTAATTTTTTTAGACGTCTATTATGATATGATGGTTTGTTTTTTTTTTTTCCTTCTTATCGCTTTCCGAATCCATTAAAATTTGAATGCAGAAAAATCCAAGCTCGTCGGTTCCATTTCATGAAAAAGCCCGTATAATATAACAATTGGGTTGAGGCGTAGTTAAATTCAAGACCTGCTTACGGTAACTAGCATCCCAAAAGTATAGAAGCATCATCCACAATTTACTATTGGACAAAAAGAAATTCAAAGCAGAGTTCCCTTTAAGAGACCCTTAGACAAATTTTAGAGTATTATAAAAATAAAAATAAAAATAAAAATAAATATTTTTGCCACAACTCTTAGAGTCCAATTTTTCTAGGTTTTTACTAACAGCCACATGAGATAATTGTTATGCCCATTACCAATCTAGGCCTGAGATTCAAGATGAGATTAAACTAGATCCATCACTAAACAGCCAGACATGCGGTTACAATATATGAACACCATCTATCCAGACAAGATCTGATCCATTATCAGGACAAGAACAAGCTAGACAGACACCACCTGCATGGACAAGGCCCGATCTGCTGGTCAAGCAAAGACAGGCTAAACTTGACCGTCGAAACGTAATCTAGAATTCCAATTCCGACATCCTCTAACCTTTCCTTTTTTTTTTTTAGATGTGAACCACTTTCACTCTTCAACCTCTCCAAGGCCCATTTCTATAAACCCTCAGATACCATTAACAACAATAACTAAATTCCCTAATACTAAGATCACAATAATTGCTTAAAGGTAATAAGCACAATAGAAAATAAAGAAACATAAAATCAAGAAACAAATAATGAGGCCCAAGAAAAATAAAGTTTAGATAGCTTAAGCCAATTGTTAGGCAGTCAATTTTGTTTGATCAACCATGCACGTAGTGGAATAACAGGTCAAAGAAACTCTAATCATAAACTAGTAGAAGCCTTACGTATATCCAATTGGCTAAAATTTGTTGCGGTATTAAATATCCAAAGAGCGGAGAGAGCTCGGGAAATAGCGCTCTGGTGGTGCTCTCATCCTCAACCGGCCGTAAAGAAAAAAAAAAAAAATGACACAAGTACCTTCGCAGCCAATTAAAAGTACCCATGAAGCTTATCTAATCTTTATTTTTAAAAATCAAGTTCGATGTTGATTCAATTCATCTATTTATACAATTCTATTATAAAAATAAAAAATAATATTATATAAATATATAATTTATTAATAAAATAATTTAATTAGATTAAATCAAGCCAATTCAAATCTAAATATTTATATTGAAATTTGACTTGAATATGATCAAATTTACGAACATAAATGAGTAACTTCACTCTTGAAAAACTCTATAATTTGCAAAGAAAAAAAGTGTTTATGCCAAGCTTCATCTGTTGAGAGCTAAGGTTTTGTTAATCATGGATTTAGACGTTAATTATTAAAATAATTATTATAATAAAATATTATAATAATATTTTAAAATTAATTTAAATAAAAACTATTTTATTTATTTAATAAAATAATAATTTAAAATTAAGTCAAACTTGAATTTGAAAATCTTCATTCAAACGTTACCAAAACTTATCAAACTTATGGAACGGACAAGTAGCTAGCAGACTTTTGAATAGAGCTGTTGACAATGAGTGAATGCCAGTTGCCAAATGTGTAGAATTTAGATGGAGAGCGAGTGCTTTGCTCCTGTCGAAGAGTGTAATAAAAATAGTAATTTTTGCAATTTAACTTTCTTTGAAGTATAAATTATTTATATTTATATAATTCTTGGTAAATGAGAGTTGAATTTGTTGGAGATTGAAGTGAATAGAATCAGATGTATCAAAAGAGAATAAGGTTAGGTGATGTCAGAATTAAGATTCTGAGCAAAGATAGCAGAGGTGAATAGACAAAGTATAAGGTTCAGAATGCTCATGCATGTTCTATTTTTTTTTTTTTTATGCTGTTGACGTGGTTGGTGAATAACACAAATTAAAGCGATACTAAAAACAAGAGCAAATTAATTTCATCCTATTCAACTGTCATAACAGCAAATAGACACCAGAAATCCTAAAATGCCAAGGAAATTTTCCGTTAATCACAAAGCTAACTACCCCAAATTGACAACATCTAGCAACAGGCGGCCCGATGATAAAAGAACAACACAACAGATCCAGAAAAGAGATATGGGCAAAAAGATTTAATTTAGATTCTTTCAAGCACATGAATCACATCACACTGACTGATTCCACAGTTTTTTTTTTTTCCTGAATTCATAAACCGACAACAACTTGATTTCTTAATAGAAATGATAAAGAAAAAGAATTACTTTCTTAACATTGCTCCACATCCTCCAAATTAACCTCGAACTGAGAAACGAAAAGAACTTGATATATAGTAAAACTGTATATAGAAACAGGCAAACGTGAATTGAAACCAATGCTTTAGCAAACAAAGAGAACAGCATTCATTTTAAGCCTGGACGCAAACACAGGAAGTAATAATCTTTAAAAGCATTTTGGAGCATTAATATATCCAAGCAATTCCTCATCAGATTCAAATTTTGCCATGTCTTCCTCCTTTAGGCTAACCCAAGCCTCTATTCCATTACCAGCTACGGCGTCCATGAAAGCAACCACGTTCTTGATATCTCGAGCTGCGGAACCTGCCCAAATGGGTTTCCCCCAACCAAAATCAGCTTCGTACATAGGAAACCTGCATAAACTTGTGAAAGTAAAGGAAATCATATCTCCTTTGGCAGAGCTTGCAGCTATCTCTTTGATAGAGTCAAAGTGATTATATCCATTTTGGATCTTCTTCACGTACTCGTTGTTTACTCTTTTTATGGAGTCTCTCATTTGGGAAACGACGTTAGTAAAATTACTTTCTCCAGCTCTGTCCATGGATGGAATTGTTATTGTAAAGCTATAAAGATTTCCGAATGAATATTCTGGCTGTGGCGGGTCAATTCTTGTGCGTAAATTTACCATGTGAAAAATTGAGCAAAACGTATCGGGTCTTGATCTTATATCAGTGGCAGCAACAAAACGGCTCCAGATGAAAGCTGATAAGGCCTCGACGCGAGTTGGGCGTGCTTGGTTTTCAAAGCTAGCATTGTCAGAATATTTTCCTCTGATTTCCTCTATTTTGGACGCAGAAAACACAAACCTCTTTGTTATAATTTGTTCTTTTGTTTGGCGGATGCTTGGTGTGTACCCTGAAAGGTTCCGTGGTGGGAAAAGCGAGGCTGACACAAATTCAGGGGCAACTAACTTCTTCTCCCCACGAGAAATGGCTGCCCACGTATTCACAAACGAGAAAAATGAAACGGCATCGCCGATTTTGTGAGAAATGCACACACCGATCCCAAGTCCTCCACAGTCAAAAATGTTGAATTGGATTCCCAGGGGAGGTTCTTTGGCATCTTCTATTTCAAATGGAAGTAATTTGTTAAGTTCACAAGGAACAGGATTCTTTATAACATCTGAAAGTTGGCATTTGACTCGGACTTCCAGAAACGGTATGCCCTCATCATTGCAATCTACAAACATCTGGTTCTCCATAATCCGTCCAGCTAGCGGGTAGAAATAGGTCAGGGCATTGGAAATGGACTGCTTGAGCTGATCGGAAGTCCTGATTTTGTTGGCTTCGGTATCACATATTTCCGGGTAGAAAAGGATCAAAGGGTTATAGATTGTGGGAGTTAATTGATCAAGGAAAGAGAGTTGGTAGCGGCAAAGCCGGTCTGGGGTTGGAGAGGATGGCTTAACAATCTCTTTGGAAATCACTTCAACCTCAAGCTTCATCCTGTACCTAAACCTTATTAACCCCGCAAACGTAAATGGCTACTTTTTTTTTTATTGAGAATCAGGTTTTTGTGTTATCCAGTGCCAGTGCATCACACTCTATATATAGAGGGCTGGTGACAACTGGAAGAAGCAATACAGACCTGACCAAAGATTTTATTTTTTATACGGTAATTTTTTTTATCATTTTATTGGATAATTTTTTAACTTCACAAAACATAGGTATTTTTAAATTATATTTTAACGTATATCTTAAAAAATATGTGATATTTTGTTAATTTAGTTCATAAAATCTAAAATTTCATTTACAATGAATTAAATAAAATTTTTTTGAAAGTTTTCAGCCTCTTAACTTAAAAATTAAAAAGCCTTAAATAGACATGAAAGATAAGAATTTGAACCTTAATAAAAAAATAATTTCTCTTTGATCAATTGTTAAATTAGTCTTACAAGTATGCTAGCCATTTGCTAGGAAGGTAGAAAATCAGTGGTAATTAACTAATTAATAAAAAAATATATATATTTTTTATTTGAAATACTTATAATTGTTGTTTTTCTTATTCAACCATGAGTAATAATGTTAAAATTTTTATCTTTTCAAATTACAATAATAATTAAGTATTATATCTGTATAATAAATTAAATAATTAACTATTGTTTTATAATTAAATTATAATTATTAAATAATTAAATAATTAATTAAAATATAATTAAATAATCAAACTCATGTAATAAAATTTAAATTTAAGATTTAAAGATTCCAAAACTTCTTCTTTCTCACTAGACGGATAGTTCGTTGGCTTCTGTCTTGAATTCAAAGATGACAAATGCCAGCTAAGTTATAATTCCTGCAATATATAACTACTACTTTACTGGGAAGTAAAGATGAATATAAAAATGCAAAAAAAGGCTGAATATAAAATTAATTTATATTTTTTCATCCTCAGTGTTTGTCCTTAGTGTTTATATCACTGTTACCTCATTAATTTATAAATTAAAAAAATTAAGAGTATAATTTTTTTTAAAAAAATTAATAATTATTTTTAAAAAAATTAATAATTATTTTTGTTCAATTAAATAATATATGTATAAATTTTATGTATTATAATATATCATATATAAATTCATAAAAAAATTATTATATAATTCTACGTAAATTTTAATACTTAGCCGCCCGGTATCGGAAGGCAACTGAGAAAAACGGACAATGAGAAATAGTAGTTGGTTTTTGTTTTAACGCGCAATTAACTTCTTGTTTCGTACATATATGAAGATGATATTTGGTGTTTTTAATTCCATTTCATGGTTGGTGGATTGAAATTTGAATGCCGAAAAATTCAACGTCTCTGTCACTACTTGTAGCTTCTGAGGAGAAGCTAAGCTTTATTATTATTATTATTATTATTATTATTATTATTATTATTATTATTATAGTGTCATAGGTCATACCGACTCTTTAGCCCTCCACTGGTCCACAGATACGAGTGTATCATCTCTTGTGCTAATCTCAAATCGTAATCTCATCATGTGAATTTAGAAATAATTGTTGTACCAACTATTTCATCAAATAACTCCTCCAGTTTGTAACCCTCTTGTCTTATCACTCTCAAACACGCAATTTGTAATCATAGGAAGGCCAACCCCAACCCACGGCTCTCATCTTATCTAAAGATTCGAGAAATCAATTATGAAATTTTCTCAAGACTTAATTAATAATATATATACATGGGGCACAATTCACTTCCGTGATGTTAAATAAATTAAGTTTTTGACCTTTTTATATTTTTTATATGGTTTATATTTTATTAATCAAATAGTTAAATTTATATGTTCTATTCATATATATATATATATCATGTATATCAAATTTTGAATTAATTAAAATGTATAATTATTTTATGATATGCATATATATATATATATATATATATATTCAACTATGAACAAAACCCCCCCAAAAAAATTTTCAATTTTGGATGGAGTTCTGTGCCTGGTTCCTTTCGGGTTCTCTACTGCTGTTGCTGTCTTTGATTTTAACTCTTTTTGTTATTTGTGACAATATTTGTAAATTTAGAGAAATAAAAAAAAGAAAAACATATTAATATGTAAAACTAAATCTTAAACTCTCTACGTCAAAAGTAATTAGATGGAAAACGTAAGAAGCAATAAAACCAAATATTATGTATAAAGATTATTTTATAATTGATGAATAGACGTAATCAATTGTTTAAATAATTATAATTATTCAATTATTATAAACGATTTTTTTAAACAAATATAATTGCTCAAAATATTTATTTAAATTTAGAAATCAATTAAAAATATATATTATTTAAATATTAAATATTCTTTGATCCATTAAAACAGTTTCATGTATTAAATATTATATTTATACAAACAACTTTGGTTTTGCAAGATTTGGTTCAATATATTTGATCGTGCTCTTATACATCTATGATCTTTTTTTTTTTTTTTTCTTTTTGCACATAGGATACTAGTGGTACATATATGACCTATATGTAGCATGATTTTCAAATATATATATGGTAAAATGTTTGTTTTAATCAAATATAAATACTTATGAAAATTACTTTTAACGAAGAATTGGCAAATTTCTAGATTAAAATTTTAAAATATTCTATATTTATACACATACATAAAGTAATAAAAAACCACTAATAATTCACTCCATTGATATATATTGAACTAGAAAAATATGTTTCATCCGATGATTAATTATTTTATATTTAAATTTATCAAAATTTGATCTTTCATCATGGAAATTAAAATTTCAATACTTTAATGGGTTGACTATTGGTCGATCATATCAAGCAACGTGTGAATGAAAGTGAAAATTTTGATTGATCTGCAAATCAAAACTCAAAAGAGGTCAATCAATTGGGAGGTCAACTACGTGCGTACATCATTAATCCAAGCAATTCTTATTTTAACAGCTTGTCAGCGTTGCAAGCAATTGCCTTCATTTCCAAAAGCAGCCATTTCTTCCTCCGTCAGGTAAATCCAAGCCTCTATGCCAACACCAGCTGCAGTGTCCATGAAAACAACTAGATTCTTGGAACTCAATCTAGCAGAACTGACCCATATAGGTTTTCCCCAACCAAAATCAGCTTCATATAGAGGAAACCCATATAGCCAAACATGGACGTACCAGATGAGTGAATGGTGACGGGGAGGCTTACTCAAGCATTGGATGGTGAAAGAAAGATTCAAACCTGAAATTAGCAGATGAGTGACTGTTTTAGTTATGCTTGATGAGGGAGACGCTAGCGATGTGGCGACTCTTGTGTTAACAGTGGAACCATCAGCTGTGGGTATGACGGTTTCATTTTGATATAACGACATGGCTGTCGAACCCGAAGATGACGCCAAATGTTGAGATCTATTTAGGATTTATGGAGAAGAGGAAGGATGGTGATGAGTCGAAACTGTCAAATAGCAAAAAAACAATCAGGAATTGTCGGAATTAGGATTCTGAGCAGCATTTTGACGGCAAGTCAACAAGGTATCCAAGATTAGAGAAGGTGAAAGTTGGGAGAGAGCTTTAAGAATAATATACATGACCTATAGTTTCGAACCCTTGTACTTTTTTACACCTTGTACTGCTGACAAGGCTGGTTGGCATGACCAGCAGTGTTGTGCGCACGTGTCGTCCTTTCCTAGCAAGTCAAGCTTGTCTAGACAGGCTACTCCTTTGTCGTGGCCCCCATGGGCTTACTTTTATTTTGGATCTCAAGTCTGGGAGAATAATAGGCATAATAAGTGTATCATTTAATAACAGATGTATGTATTTTTATATACCTTTTATCACACCATTTATATTAAATTTCGAAATACAATCTTTTATTTAAATTCAAATTATCAAACACAAACAAAATTTATGGCAAAAAAATAATAATAATAAAATACACAACTAAAATATAGAATACCCAAAACATACGAGCAATATTTCACTAAGCAAATGCCAAAAACATCTTCCGCTACAAATTCGATATTGGACAGAAATAAGAGTGATAAATTCTTTAGCAGCCTTGATGTGAAACAGCATATGCAAGCAGCATTTCGTCACTTCCAAATGTAGCCATATCTTCCTCCTGTAGGCTGATCCAAGCCTCTATTCCATCTCCGAAAGCAGTATCCATGAAAACAACTAGATTCTTGAAAGTCAGGCTCACCGAACCCACCCAAATGGGTTTCCCCCAACCAAAATCAGCTTTATACCGAGGAAACCTGCATAAACTGGTGAAGTTGAAGGAAACCATCTGTCCTGTGATGAAACTTTCGGCTCTCTCTTTGATGAAGTCAAAGTGACTCTGTCCATCTTGGAGTTGCCTCACATATTTCGAGTCAAGTTTTCTTATAGATTCTCTTATCTGGTTAACGAGATTATAAAAATCTTCTCCAGAGTTTCTGGATGGAACTGTCATTGCCATTTGGTAAAAGTTCCCAAAAGAATGCTCCGGCAGCGGCGGGTCTAATCTTGTGCGTAAGTTTACTGCATGAACAATTGCGTAGAAGCAGCTATCAGGTATTGATTTTGCTTTGGTGGAAGCAACAAAACGGCTCCATATGAAAGCTGATAATGCCTCAATGCGTGATGGGCCTTTTTGGTTTCCGGTGGTTGCAGTACTACTGTTAGTGCATTTAGCTTTGATTTCCTGTATTTTAGAGGCACTGAACACAAACCTCTTTGTCACAATTCTTTCTGTTGATATGCCAATTCTCGGTTCATACCCTAAAATGTTCTTTGGAGGAAAGAGTTTGGCTGATATTAATTCTGGAGACACTATGAAACTCTGATCTCCGCGAGAAATGGCAGCCCAAGTATTCACATATGTGAAAAGTGATAGGGCATCCGCAATTTTGTGAGAAATACAGACACCAATACCTATGCCTCCACACTCAAAAATGTTGAGTTGGATTCCCAGGGGCAATTCCTCAGCATCATCTAGTACCGATGGAAGTAATTTATTGAGTTCACTAGGAACAGCATTTTCTACAACATCTGAAAGTTGGCAAGGGACTTGGGCCTCCAGAAACGGTACGCCCTCATCGTTACAGTCTACAAACAGGTTATGGTTAATCCTTCCGGCTAATGGATAGAAATAGGTTAAGGCATTGGACATGGATTGTTTAAGGTGGTCAATAAGCTTGATTTTGTTGACCTGGATATTGCATTTGGTCATCGGGTAGAATAGAATCAATGGGTTATAAACTGGAGGAGAGATTTGATCAAGAAATGAGAGTTGGTAATGGCAAAGCGCATCAGGTGTAGGGGATGATGGCTTGATAATCTCTTTGGACATTACTTCCACCTTGAGCTTCATTTTCTTCTTGACAAATTAAGCTAACTTCGTGAACAATGTATACTTTTCTGATCTGTGGATACTGCCCTGTTGTGCTTAATGCAATCCCATGTCATACATATATTTATAGAGATGTTAATGAAAATGATAAAAAATATAAAAATAATATAATTTAAAATTTCAAAACATATATATGAATTTTAAATATTAACACTAATTATCATATACTAATTTTAATATTTTATAAATATTAAACACGAAATAAATAGACACAATCACGCATAAATAAATCTACGCGTTACACCCTAAATTATATTTGTGAGCCCACAACTAGGCTGACGCTGGAATGAATGGCGACAGCAATCAATTATGTAACATTATGCACCAGACTGCATTGTAAGGTACACTTTTATGACACGTATATTAATTAAGTAAACAGGCATAAGTAAAACCTAAAAGTTTCAATTGATGTATCAGTTGTCCAGTTGAGTAACATTTTCAGCTTGTCAGCAGAGATGCTGGATTTTCTCACGAACCTCTAATACCTTGGCTTAAACTTGTGTTTTCGTGCATGAAAATTAACCATTGTTATTCGATTTCGTGCAAGAAAGTTTCCAAGCATGGTTCACTAAACAAGGTAGATTATGATAGGGGTAGCGTACTGCTCTCAACATATATATACAATTACTGCATAATGTAGATTATAGCATTATTGTCTTCCATAACAAGATTAATTTGCCTGTGGGCAAGACATAGGAAAGAAAAGATTACTTTCTAGATCGCAAATTGTTGGAGTCACACCCCTTACACGTATTGAATAATTTTACATTGCCAAAATGTTTTCTTTTTTACTAAATTAAAGGTGTCTTTTTTACTCAATATCTCAATCAAAGTTAGATTGTTTTAAACAAGAATTTCCTTGTTTAAAACAATGCGACGTTTTATAATTTATTAATAATGCATAAATTATCTATTGATTGATAATATATAAATATAAATGTAAAAGTATAATATTTTTTGTCTTTTCGTGTTGAATTGAGAAATCAAAATAAACTTTACTTAGTCTTTTTCTTTTTTTTTTTTAATTTCAAAATGGGCAGAAGGGAGGAGGAGAGGCTGGGGTCGAACCCCAACCCCATATCTTTTGAGGCTTACTTAGCCACTAAATCAAGTGGTTGAAGACTGCTTGGTCCTTATCACTCCAATACCTCTTCCCTCTGGGTCATAGCCCTAACCATCCAATAAAAAAAAAAGAAAAACAGAATAAAGAAAAGCTAAAGGCCTAAAGTGCATGCTTTTAAATTAAAATATAAAATCCATAAATATGAGACACCATCATTAGTTTTGCAAAAGTTTTTCAATATTCCACTAAAAGGGGGCTAGAGATAATTGGCAAGGAAAAGACCACTCGTAGCTATTGGGGCAAGCAGACAAAAGGCCCCCCAAATCAATGGATGATCAAATTCTATTACTATAAAAGAAACGGAAATTTAAACCAACAAGCCAGGATGGGCGGTAACTTTTTTCTTTTTCCAGTTTTCTTCTAGAAAATCATTACCATGACGTTTCTTTCTTGTGTCTTTATTTTCGTGTGTTAGAAGTACTTATCCAAAAATGGACCAAATTTCAAAAGGAGGATAATATTGTCAGATTAATAAAGCATTGCATTATAAATTGTTGCTTAATGAATGTAGTGATGATAAGGACACATACGATGGAGAATGGTATTGGACCATCGATAGAGTTTAAATTTCAGCAAATATTGACCAAAGGCTTAGATGTTTACTTGTTATATAGGATTCAAAAATTGAAAAAAAATTTAATTTCAAGAAACCATAGTTTGGGGTTAGGTATAATAATTGTTATATTTCATAGAAGCAACTACATTTTAATCAACTCCATCATATAAACCATATATATTTGACTTGTTTCTAATTACATAGGGTATTTCTCTATTTAAAGAGTAAAATTGAAATATCTTTCTTTTAAATTACTTCATACTTGTGATTGATGTTATAGCTTTTATTTTGCTATTTTAATTTAGATTTAATTTGGATGAATTGTAAAATTGAAAGTAACATATTAGAGGACGAAAAAGAAGAGAAATATCTTATTATAGTTTTTAAAAGGGGTATTTTAGACAAAATGTAATTAAATATAGTGCAAATATAGTTTGAATTCTTTTATTTCTCACATTTTTCTCTTCTCTTCATTTTCCTTCTTTCATATAAACATAGTGTAAATAATTAAATATACATGAATTCTTTTATTCAAGCAATGTTTAAAATTGAAACTTCCTTTTTTCTAGTTTTATTTTCATCTTTTATAAATCTGGTATCAAATGAGCCGAAAAGAAAAGGGGCCTTTTTCCAAGAAGCCGTGAAGAAATCTTTTTAAGAGTTAGCATCCCTTCTGTTTCCCCTAAAACAGCACATTAAAACAACTAGACAGAGCGTCACTGCTAGCTCAAAGCCCAGCCAAGGGAGTGGAAGCCCGTCCCTGGACAAAGTCTGAACCAGGGAGGAAAACTGTCCTGAATATGTTCTAGCAATAACCTTTTAGGAACTCTTTCCCTGGGTTGATAGATTACATTTCGGGTGTAATCTTGGCCATTGAATATGAAAATTACAACTAATATATAATATAATATAATAATGTTCATTTAGTCAAGAGTCTCATAATTGACGTTGATGGAAAATGAAAACATAAAGAATTTCATTTAGAAACAAACACAACAGTACAAGTACAAGAAACTAGGAAATTAAGAGATAAAATAAAAACTTTTTCACACTTACAGACAAAGAAATGATAAATTAAACTAGTACCATAAACTTTTTATTTTTCTGTTTGGCCCATTGGATTTTCAGATTTCAGTGCCTATGAAACCACTTTTGATTACCTTTTTCTATACCTAAAACCCGGAAACTTTCACATTAGAAGTAGGAGAAACATACGAAAGGAACTCCTTGTCAGCTTCAAGTTTACCCATGTCTTCCTCTTTCAAGTTGATCCATGCCTCAATTCCATCTCCATATTTGGTATCAAAGAAAGAACACAGATTCTTGAAAGGCAAGCGAGCAGAGCCAAGCCAAACGGGCTTTCCCCACCCAAAGTCAGCTACATACACAGGGAACCTGCACAAACTGGTGAAGCTGAAGGAGACAACCTCTCCCTTCATTACACTTGCAGCCCTGCTTTTGATGAAATTCAAGTGCTCATCAGTGTCTTGAAGCTGCTTCACATACTCGGCATTCACTTTCCTAATTGCGTCTCTCATCTGATTCAGAATGTCATAAAGTCTATCTTCCTCGTTCATTGATGGCATTGCTATCGCTGGTCTAGTGATATTCCCAAAATAGTTATTTGAAAGTGGCGGATCCATCCTTGTACGTAAGTTCATAGCCTGAATCACTGTGTAGAGCTTTCCTTGATCTACTTTTTCTTGAGTGGCAGCCATAAAGCGGCTCCATATGAAGGCAGATAAGGCTTCAACGCGAGTCGGGCGCCTGGCATCTTTGCTTTTGTTTTCTATATATTTGGCTCTGATAGCTGCTATTGCTGAAGCATCAAAGACATATCTCCTGGCCACCAAATTCTCCTTTGTAATCCCAGTCCTGGGCTGGAATCCAGATATATCCTTCGGTGGGAACAGGGTAGCAGAATCGAACTTAGGACTTATTATGTCAGTGTCACCACGAGCAAAAGCTGCCCAGCAGTCAATGAACATGAAAAACGATAAGGCATCACCGAGCTTGTGTGACATCCCAAAGAAAACTACTAACCCTCCATACTCAAGGTAAGTGACTTGTGCCATAGCAGGTAACTCATTGGCATCATCAAGCCCAAGAGGAATGAACTTGTTGTGGTTATTTGGATTTGGATTTTCAAGAATATCAGAAAGATGGCAACTAGCCTTAGCTTCCACAAAGAAAAGACCCTCGTCGTTGCAATCAACAAAGGCGTTGTCCTTGATCCGCCCAGCTAGCGGGTAATACATGGATAAGGCCTTGGATAAAGATTGTTTTATCCTGTTACATCGTTCTAAGTTGCTAGCATCATTTTCTTTGGGATAGAACATGACCAAAGGCATGAAAATTGGGGGCTGAATCTGGTCAAGGAAAGAGAGTTGGTAATGACGAAGGTGTTCAGGGGTTGGGGATGAGGGTTTGATCATTTCCTCTGAAAGTACTTCCACATCAATCTTCATTTTTTATGTGTAAGAAAAATCAGAAATCATCCAATGCGTAATATGGAAATTGAATATATGTATATATACGCAAAGATAGCGGATTTGCCACCCAATTCCCAACTGGGCCTTTATATAGAGCCATAAGAATACAACCAAGCACCATTATTGGCAATAAAATATTTTTTTATTTGAAAAACAATAGGAATTGATCAAACTCAGCTTCTTGACCCAAATATTTTGACTCTGATGCTGATATTGATGGAAAATTTTGCAAGCTAATAATGTGAAAACACATACGGTGCAGGCCGTTAGACAGCTCCTCAAAAGCACAATGACATTAAATATAATAACAGGTAGGCATTCGTTGATTATAGAACAAATTACACTGTTAGAATCTTCTGGCGTTCAAAACTATGCATCCAATAAACTTTCAGAGTATTCATCCAATTACTCTCATCCTCTGTGACATACATGAATTATGACAGAGAAATTTAGGGGGGAAAAAAGGTATTAAGAGATTAACGACTTCTCCACTTACTCTGCTTTGATTAGAATTGAATTCATAAATACCCCTTTCAATTCAAAAAGATAATCGGCAATTAAGACCATAAAGTAAAGTCTAATTGGAAGAGTAAATCACCGATTACATGAATCTATGAACTGATAAATGAAAAAAGATTCCACAAATAATATTGTATTTTGTTTGCATTTATCTCGTATCTAGCTTTGAAAAGAAACAAATTTTTGTTCAATTTTATAAATGTTTGAGATTGAGTTGAAAACATGTTCTTTTGACATCAATGTGAATACTATATTTAACTTAATTTGATCATTTGACTATCTTTAAAAATGATATTTAATAATTTTAAAATTTAAATTTTATAACTAAGGCAGGCATATAAACTTAGAAAAAAAAGTCTAATATTTTCATAATCAGGTGGCGATCCAAACAGGCACTGATATGGAGTAATGTCGCCAAGCACAGAGGAGGGCGGTTGATGATGATAAAGACCGCGATGGAAAAGGACCCCAACTAACATAGGGCCACTTATCTTACTAGATAGGGGGAGACACGGCTGTCAAACATCAGAGCAAGAGCCGTTTCTCTGACCCAATGGCGTAATCACAAAGCAAATATGGGGTCTATTGGCCTCACTTAATTATTCAAAACCTTAATTTAATATAAATGTTTTGGTAAAAATCTAGAAGGGAGATAAAATATTTTTCTTAAAAAGTTATATTTATTTTATATTATATATGGTTATCGATACAATTTGACCATTAATAAAAATATTAAATTAAAATATGATTTATTTTCAAATATATTATCACATAGATTAAGTTTTAATTTTTATTTGTTTGAAAATATTATTTACTTACTAATGAAATTTTATCTCAATAGTAAGAAGGAAGCTTTTAAAGTTTTAGTCTTTCGGTTCAAGTTCCATCGAGTGTTGGGTTTATTCAAAATTACATATTAATTAGTTAATTGTTAATTTGATTTGCTTATTGATTTTATTTTTTGATGTTTATTAAAAATTAGTTTAATTATGATTATAATTTTTTCTAGTACATATATAATTTCATAAAAATTGTTTACTTTTGTATTTAAACACATAATTTGTCAGACAAAAGAGATATATAGTAACAAAATAAGAAAGAAATGGAATCCAACTTAATTTTTAAAATTCACAGATGATCAAATCATAAACTTGAAATAATATCTAATTATCATTATATTAACTTTTTAATAAAATAATTAGATAATATACTCTATAATTGATTAAACTTAAAATTTTCGTATTTAATATATAATTTTTTTCAACAATATAATTTATATATAATATTGTATTTACATATCGAAAGCTGAAATATAACCCCAATAAATTTTTTTTGGTATGCCCTTGCTATCCTCATATTACAGCATCCTTTATTAAAAAAAAAAAGTGAATAGTGAACTCCTTGGAGCCGGCGAGGAAGAATAATACAGCAGCAAAGATTCAAAAGAGGGAATATATAAACAAAAATAACAAGAAAGTTAACCGACGTATATGTGTGCAGGTTGCACTGGAAATGGAGAGATCAGACAATATTCATTCAAGCCATTTGGTGGATTGTATTTGTAGGTATTTACATGCTTGTAATTGAATGGCTTTGCATTTGCAGCCCTTTCTGTCTCTAAGGGCTTCAAGTATGACATGGTTTACAGATAGAATCCAAAAATTAAGGATAAAAGCTGAGAGCATATTATCTATAATTATTGTAGTATAAAAAATTAATTATAATTTAATATTATATAGAGTTCATAAAAAATTATATAAAATCTATATTTTTAAATGTTGAATTTTTATACAATTTTTTATTATGATTAATTAATTATAATATTATAATATAAAAAATTATATTTAATATACTCTTTCAAAAAGTATGATAAGTATGTTTACCATATTTTAAGGATAAGAATGGACTGCATCTCCCTGCAATATATAACTAATTGAAAGAGGATTCAAGATTGTAATTATGACAAATGGGAATGCATGATATGGTCTGTGTAATTAAAGTAAGAAAGCTAAAGCATGCTCCTATCAAGTAGTTGGCATTTACATCATATATATAAATCCTCTACTTTTTTTAGATACTAAAAAAAATCCCTGTATGTTTCGAATTTATTAAATAAAATTTTAATTTCTATTGTAGCAAATTGAGCTTTTAAAATATCATTTTTGTTTAATTAAACTTTTATGATACATGAAAATCACTAATATCAACTAAAAAAGGGTTTAATTAAACAAAAATAATATTTTAAGAGCTTAATTAAAAAAAATAATATTTAATGGTTTAAATATTACTGGGCACAATTGAAAAATAGATATTTATCTAAGAAATTTGAAAAATTATGAGTTTGTTTGTATGAAAAATTAAAAAATATTTTTTGATATAAAAAATTTGAAATTTTGAAGACTTTTAAAATGAAAATATTTTAAAATGCATTAATTTAAAAATCAACAATTGTAGTTGTATTATTTGAATAAATATTTTTTAGAAAGAAATTTTGACTATTGAAATTTAATGACATAAAAAAATAACGATAAAAAGGACAATAATATTAAAAATAAAAAAATATATAAAAAATAACAAAGACATCCATAATTGGTTTAAGTCCAACAGTTTGCATCTATATTATGTAGTATTTGTACCATAACAAGATATTTGTAATAACTATTCGGTTAAGCGTACTATCACTTCCAAAACGAAAACCCCCCAGCTTTCAACCGCTTCTTTGATGATGATGATGTATATCCAAATCGTATATGTTCTCTTTCTCATCAAGTTGCTCCTTAATTTCCTTTCTATATATAATCAATAAAATGATTCAAGTAGTCATTTCACTGATATTATAATCTTAAACCTAATAACTAATTAATCGGATAAGCTTACCATCACTTATAAAACCAAAAGCCACCAGTTTTCAACCCTTTCTTTGATGATGATGATGATTTATATCAGTCACATAAGTTGACTTTTGCTCATCAATTTGCTCCTTTCCATTCCGCATTGTGACTGAAGATAGATACAGTAATTTATGTATTTATTTTATATTAAATATTTGTAAAATATTAAAATTGTTATTTATAATTTATATTAACATATTTAATATGAATAATATTTTTTTATTTTTATTAAAAATTAAATATGTATCTTATATTTAAAATTATCAAATCTAACAATTAAATCAATAAAATGATTTCAATAGTAATTTGGCTTATATTATTACTATCAATCAGCTATCAGTATCTATGGAGAGATTTTGCAAGCTAACAAATTTTAGTGGGTAAAACCATTCAGTCATATTCACTATGAAGAGCTTGGTCAAGAAATTAGAAGGGACACTGAAATTGAAACTGAAAGTGAAGGGTAGCCTAATCTTATTATTATACTCAGACGATTAAAAATCGTGAGAATAAATTAATTGGCTACAAAATAGACTATGCTGAATCAAACTTGATCTGATTTTTTCCAATTCAAATCTTTTTGGCCATTGGTGCTCAAAGGTAGCGAAATGGGAAAAATGACTTTGTCGTACACGCTTTTGACAAAATAAATTAAGGGATTAATTAGCTGTATGATTGACATAATTTATTTCAAATGTTAATAAATAAATATATATAAAGAGATTTAATATTTAATAAATTATTAGTATAATTTTTTAGTTTTACAAACGAGAGTAAGATATTAATATATATTTTATTTTTAATTTTTTAAATATATTTTAAAAATTATGCGTTGTCTTACTAACGTTGCTTATAAAATCTAAACACTCTATTGATAATGAATAAAATAACTTTTCATATATATAATCAAATTAGGTAGTGCTATTTTATAAAAGAACTAAAGGAAGCAATTAGGGTTGATAGTCCAACTCGAACCCGACGGGTTTGGACTAGACTCGATCTCATAGGATTAATTTTTTTTTTTAAATTGAATTTCGAGTTGAATCGGGTCATATATTATTAACAAAAAATTAGGATCAGTTCAAGTTCGGGTTTTAAGAAAATCCGACTTGATTCAACCCGATATTATATTAAAAATTATTTTTTAAAATTTTTATTTATATATAATTATATAATTATATATTTATATTTAAAAAATAATATTTTATATTTAAAAAAATAATACTTTATTAATTTCAAGTCGAGATCAGATCGAATACGATTTATATAATATCAGATTGAGTCAAATTCAAATATAAAAAATAATAAAAATTTTTCATGTTGAATCGAGTTTGAGGTGAGCAAAAACTCGCTTCAACCCATTACCAACCCTAGAAGCAACCTGTGGATGATGCCGCTATGCTTGCTAATTATAAATTAATCAATGTTTGCTAGAATTAATTCAGAGTTCTTCTCAAACACTTTACTTCATATCTACTTTAAAACATTGGCGGTCTTAAGGTTGAATTAGCCTTAAATTACACTTTTTTAATTGGACTAGCTTTGTACATCCCAATTTCTACTTCTCGATGTTTGAAAGTTCATTCCTTGTAATGTAAGGATTCGCTGTGCTCTAATTTCAATCCACAGCCATTAATAAAACAAATTTCTTCCGAATTTAGTTTGATACT